CCCGGCTTGGGTCAGCGCACGCTGCCCCGACTCGGCTACCTCACGTTACCGGTGCCCTGGCTTTGGGCGCGGCTTCTGCTCATACTTTGTGGTGCGGTGGTGGTGCGTCGGGCCGCGCGCTCTGACTTCGGCCAAGAAAAATGCGTCAGCTGATCATTGTCATTTCTGCCACTTGCGTGTGGTGAAATGGGGTCATAACTTAAGAGACGGCTTTTTCATATCAATTATTTTACATAAAATCACATTTCAAACCATAATTAATGTTCGACAGCCAAATAAAAGAAACAATACCAATACAGGCTTACAGTTTAAGGCTCGACATTGTGTTGTCTACGATTAGACAGCTGATAACTCATTCCCGTACGTCGTAACTCTATAATGACCTTTGCTTATTGTCACATGTGCGCCGCATTCGCGATTGTTGCCGACGCCTGTTTGCAGGTCAGCCCACTACAGTTGTTATACATATCGAAAAACCGATAAACTTTTAGGCAAAAAAGGCACTATTCCAGGCCCATTTTTGATTTTTTTGCGATATTAGGTAAAAACAGAAGCTTCTTATCCTAGAAAAAATAAAATGGGAAATCTTTCAAAGGTGGCACACTACCTTTAATACACACAAAACCCGAACCATCAAAACCGTACATTTGTAGTTGGCATGCATATTTCCAAAGCGAAATATTCCCCAAAATTGCTTGTCATGCAGTTCGCAGCTCATTTTCTGCTCCTGCCATCCAAATATACATAGCTTTTGAGCCACCTCTAGTCGTGCCCTTCATATTTTACCGTGACCCGTATTCCGTAGTCGGTTGCGGGTGACCCAGATTTGCACGGGGCAGCCACTGCCTCCAGTTATACCGGTAGTGGTAGAGGCTCAGCAGGCACTCCCTCTCAGTCGAGCGCGACTGCAGCCCGGCGTGCAGCCAAGCTCGGCTGGACTCGCCACCACTCGCGCTGCAAGATAACCAGCTACGGCCAGAGCATCGGTCAGATACAGTTAATCTGTGCGAGAATCTGGACTTGTTCGCTGAAGGTAATGGTTGGGAAAGATGGCGGTATTTCTGCTCTGTTGCCACTGCCTTGACATCAGGGAGCACGGCTAGGCTCAATGATATTGTGACAAATCCGAAGACTGTGATGCCTCTTGATGTCAAAAGCTAGCCGGTTAACGCAAAACAAACATGATGATAACACCTTTCTGTACCTCATGGCGACAACATCGCAGTCATCAGTCCATCGTAGACTGATTCGTATGTGTTAAGTCACCGGCCTTTCAGTGACCTCAAAAAGTCCATCGTTGGTTCTGGGCGTCTGGTGGTCCTGTCGGGACAATCAATATAAGCATTGTAAAAATGAAAGTCTGTAATCATGCGCTGCTTCCTGGGACATGTTACGCTGGAAATATATACATTCACCATTCCACAACCATTGCAGAAAAGCAGATGGCATGATGTTGAATGTTGATGCTAGAGGTGAAAGATTCAACAAGAATCATCAAATAATCGTCGTAAGTGATCAGACGCTGAACTTCACCGCACGTAGGTACACAGAGGATGAAGTCGTACTTCATCAAAAGCTCGAATATAGGCGACCAATGGCCGTGAAACGATAGCCACCTTCGCGGCGGTGCGTTATTTTATGGGCATCATTCGGCCGTTTACGCAGTCAAGCGGCTGGATTCTGTCGCCGTTTGTCATCTCTATGCCTGGTAACATTCCGATGGTGACCGGGCTGACCTCATGTGCCGGCCGCGTTCCTCGAGCTGCAGCAGGAGACGCTCCTTAGACGTATAGACATTTATACACACCCTCCTGACAGTGCGACGAGTGAGGCCATCAAAATTCACAACACCAACGGTTCTGCGGCATTCAAACAGTGGCACTGATCCGTGCAAAAGACGTGTGGTCTGTGTCACAAATGTCATTGGGACATATACATTTGGTAGTAAATGAATAGTCACGTCCTGGATTATAACTATCGTGCTTAACTCTCAACCACTGCAAATGTTACGTGTGTGACATGGTGCCGCGTTGCCATGCTCTCTTTCTGAATCTTTGATCATAGTTATGCGTTACCTGTTACTGATAGGCTTTTCATAAGCGTTTTTGCAATGCCGAGTGATGATGGGCCAATGGTCTTCCACACTTTTTCTTTGTGAATCAGAAAGTGTTTACTGATAATGGAGACAGGAGTGCATAACCCGCGCCCCACTGGGGGGGGGGGCTATTTATAGCCCCTCCTCCCGTTTTTTCTGCAATAACTTCCAAACCCCTTAACGTATCGACGCTAAACTTTCAGTACCTTCGGCTGCATCTATTTGACACCTTGTGTCAAAATTTGAACTTCGTAGCTACCATAGGTCGGCCGGAAATGACGTCAGAGTGACGTCATGTTCGGCCGATTTCGACGCAAAACATTGAACCACGGCAATCGCTCCCAAGAGCTCAGTTTTTAAGCTAGATCCAATTTCTTTGCATTAGAGGACTCAGAATAGACTGCGCTATCAAACTGCTATCTCGGATTTTCGAAATTTTGAAAATTTCGAAAATTTGGTATAATAAAATTCAAAACTTATATTTTTACATTTTTTTCAAAACGTTTTTGATTTTTCGAAAAACCGGAATATGAACACATAATTATGACTAACTCTAGCAAGTTTTAGCTAAGTATCTTCAAAAATGGCCAAGTTATACGCATTATTGCAAAAAAATCACAATTTTTAATTTTTCAAATCAATTTTTAGCCCGTACTTGACGTCGTACGCCAATATAAATAGCACCATCGTGTTCCTGAGCTCAAACTGCATTCAATAGACACCTTTTTTGTTGAAAACTTTTAACTTCAAAATTTGACCTTTTTTGACCTGAAAGTGACCTGACCTAAGCTAAATTCGACTCAAAATGACCTCGAATGACACAGACGACATCAAATTCGAAATCTTTGGCCTAAATAGACACATAAAACATGTGTCACGTGACCGACGCATGATATAATATTTTCGTGACCTGAGATGACCTGACCTTGACCTGAAAATCAAAGTACAAGTTTGGTACCCTCAGGGTCTCTAGAGCATCTGTTCACGAGTGTGTGAACCAAAAATGAGCCTGATCTGACTTGTAAGATGGCGGGCAGAGCCCAAAACGTGAACAAGCCAAAATGCTAATATTTTTTACTTTGACCTGACCTGTGACGTCATCGGTGACATCGAGGTCAATGAAATTAGGTTTCGCTCGACAGTTTTTCCGGGGCTATCAGACACCGTTTGAATTTTGACGATCGGCCCAGCAGTTTCGGAGTTAGGAGGGGGCTATGAATAGCCCCCCCCCCAGTAGGGCGTGTTATACGCAGACCCCAGTGGGGCGCGAGATAACTTGAGGGACGTTTGTGATTTCAGGAAAGAACATTATGCATGTGTCTCGCATCTCATTTTTGTAGGGCACAAACTCTGAGGTACCTTTCGGATATTGAACCCTGTGATTCTGGCCAACAGGCCATGGGTCGTGCATCAGTCGAAGGGATATCACATTCAGCCATCACTCAGTAAAAGCTATTGTTCCGATGGACTGCCTCGTCACCTATCGAGTACACCCGCCGTCTAGCTCAGCTATAAATGATATACCCACCAGGCCAGTCCGTCCTACTCTTCAGCCTGTTTTACAGACCTGCGATGTCTCTGAAGGCAGCATAGCGAGAGCGTGTCATTGTTTATGGTCAAGTGGAAAAGACCAGCCCACTGCCGAGAAGTGCAGCCACGTAACGAGCTCCCTCAGAGAGCGTACACTCAAATAAACACTCACGTGATTCGAGGGATTAATGTTCCTCTCTGCTAGAGGATGTGTTTGTAGCCTGTCTGCGTGGTCGCCCCATGCTCGACCTGACCTGGTCGTGAACGACCCCCGCTGTTGTTCATAATAAGAGAACAGTAATGACGCGATACGAAACTGTCGCTGTGCAGCTTTGTAAACGAACTAAACGATATGTAGTCGTTGTAAGCGAGACGGCGTCTTTTTTACAAACGCAGCCGCCGCTTCAGTATAAGGTATACGAGTTATATGGTCCAACGGCTGGAACTGAGCTCCAAGCCACACATGGAGCACGCACGGAAGATTCTATGGCAGTGACATCCTCAATTTCATTACATAAGTTTTATTCATCTGACCTTATCCCGTTCCAAGAGTTGTTTGCTCCGATCTGAGCTCAGTGCTCACAAAAACCAGACTCATGTGTGCCCTTGCTCGTGAAAATACAGAATGTCATATCACATTAGAGAGAAGGATCAGGCTCAGATTTAGCGTAATCTTTTATCGGGTTTTTGTATGTCCAGACAGCCGTAAAGTTCATTGGTACTAAGTCGATCTAGATGTGATATGATACGATGACATCTCTTTGTGAGCATTGGTGTACTGCTGACTGCTTGGTCTCAGTGTTTGCCCTTCTTGTGCGACTATTTCGGAGAAAATGCTGGCGAGAGAAACGTCATAGACAGCATGGCGTCAAGGACAGTGGCGAAATAACACAGCCCCCTCGGCTCCGCTATAGTAACTACGGTCACATACAACACACACAGAAAAATATTGACACCGTTAGCGGTGTAATTGCACAGTACATATCTGAGCACTTGAGGAAAGTTAATTTAGTCCCTTCCCCGCTTAAATTACTCGCGCTTCTAAATGAACACCAGGAAGAAGGTAATAGAACACTGTTACGAGGGTTGGGTGTTTTACTATATGTAGCAAAACACCCAACCCTCCTAACAGTGTTCTATTACCTTCTTCCTGGTGTTCATTTAGAAGCGCGAGTAATCTAAGCGGGGAAGGGACTAAATTAACTTTCCTCAAGTGCTCAGATATGTACTGTGCAATTACACCGCTAACGGTGTCAATATTTTTCTGTGTGCAGGAGCAGAAAACCGAGAAAGCATTTATTTGATTGGAACCCCTCGGGATTTCACAAATTCATGTACACATTTTACAAACGTTTCGTATCTCCCGCCTTTTCAGAATATGGAGCTGGTATAACCCTGGGACAGCGAGCCCCCAGCAGAGAGTTACCTGAGGTCATAAAGAAGCACTCAAGAAGTCAGCAAAGATGCCGCCCAAGCCGGGACGGCACCGTGTTCGAGATTCGTCCAAAGGTAAAATCTACAGTTCTCAGTCACCTGCACTGCGCCGGTACTTACCTAATACCTACCTACAATTTAAAGCAATGGACGTGTTCTTTAATGCAGACATGGTGTAAACTGCGGCACCTACCCCACAGCTTCTTGGTCGTTGTGCACTTGTATGTGAGGATGTGTTGCCACACAGCTGCGTCAGTGTGAGTATGTGGGCTGTGGTCTGTAATTCAGAGCTAGCAAAACAACAGACTCAACGCAGACAGCTTCAAAATAGGCGTGATATACTCCAGACGCATTTGAAGTTACAAGCACTTATCCGTTACCTATCTAGTATTTAGCCTATTAGTGAAGCCGCCTTTTCCATCGTCATCTTCTTTGCGCCACACACGCTGAGACCTTTTGTCGCTGCCTGGCGAGCTATCGACTGCTCGGCGATTGTCGCCTGCTGGCTGGTGTCCCGGCTGCATCTAAGTGACATTTCGGCCGGTGCGACCGTCTCGGTCGGCGCCCCGCGCTCTGCAGTGGCCATGGAAAAGGATCATGAAACTGGGGCGTGATGCTTTCGGTTATTTGAAGGTCAAAGATGGGTAAATGTGGATGTGATATTTTGTGAAGTGCCTTTGATGGTACACTAGGGTTTTGTGACAATTTAGTAGTGCGTATGAACAACAGCTAGCTGGTCTAATGACTGCAATTTTTCAGCAAAAACGAATGAAGTGATTTTCGATTTTACTGCTGACTTACTCGTAAATGACAATTGACGCAGCCGTGGCTGACCCAACACACCATTTCGGATGCTCAGTCTATAGTTTATCACTTGCACTTTATGGACATTGGACATACGCGAGACAAAGCGACTGTCATACTTATGAATCATGGCACTGGTTAGCGATTAACCGCTCACTCCGTTAGTAGTAAGTATCAAAAGGGACTCTCCTTGTATGTCTTGTATAGCCCATTCAGTTGTTTGCGTTTAAGATCAGCTTCCTATTTCATTGAACGGGCTTGACACGCATGTGTTTATCGGCCGCTTTGCCAGCTGATAGCAAAAAGTGAGCTCTGGTGGATCAAATTAACCACAATCGTTTAGAAGAACTCTTAAATGAATGCCGCTAGCCTGTTTCATTACGCGTATATTTATGGAAGCGTTGAAGATCTTTGCACGACGCACGTTCCCAGTGTCGTGGGTAGCAGTGCATTGCTGATGGAGAGGGAAGGAGACTATCATCATCATCATCAATTTATTATGCGTCTTTTTCAGACAATACACATACACATTGCACTTTCCAATAAACACACCAGCAGTACAGATACTGCATGTAAGACGATGAACACAACACTAAAACGCAATTGCAAAGCACATTAACAAGTCAACACATTTGTGAAAAAAAACCCTATGAGCACAGAAGCCTCACGAGACGACGGGACATCACTGTCTGGCTGGAATTTAAAAGGAATCTGAGCGAATCTACTACACCGTCGCTGTCGATCGCGCTGCCTATGAAGCTATGATCCACATGACCCCTCACAGCATCAAGCACGTTTTGAAAAGAACAGTTTAACAGTTTGTATGCCAGGTCCAGAAATGTTCCGTGCAATTGTCTAGGCTCGGTAGCTAAAACAGCCAGCTCTCGTAGCATAATGTGTTTCAGTCGGTGTTGGTGGCTTCGGAATATACCCGATAAGGCTAGCAGCACCGCTCGTCTGAGCCGTTCATGTATTCTCGGGATACCTAAAGCTACAAGCAAAGCAGAATGATGAGCGTATTTAGATAATCCGAGGGCAGCTTTTATGCACCGAGATTGCAGGCCATCCAGATCGTCAACATCACACGAGCGAAGGGGGACTGTTTGACATCCGAAAGTTAGGGCAGGGATGACCACAGTTTTCCAAAGAAAGACTTTATCTGAAGGCGACAGGCAGTCACTGAGCATTCCAGCAGGAGTCAGTCCGTAGAATGCTCCACGAGCCCGACTAACACGGTACTGTACATGAAGTGACCCGGCTAGATCCGCTGACAATGTGACACCTAGATGTTCGGTCACTGCTCGTACAGCAAGCTGCTGACCAGATAGGTGCCAGACGGGGAGCGCAGACAACAATTCAGCACCAAATATAATAATCAACCAATCAACCAACCAGATGGTGCCTTTCAGCTCATTTTACTCAAGCGCGTATCGATTGAATGCGTAACCCTTGTTATAAAATGACGGTAATAATTTAAGTTTTTTTTTTGTAAAAGACAGCTTTCGAAACATACAGTTGATCTATATGAGATAGAGAATGCGACAAAAAATCTGTCACAAAATGCATTTTGTTTTGCTTTGTTTTTGTAACTATGTTACTATGTTATTGTGTTCTTATATTATATTATTATACTATTCATTGTGTTATATGTAATTGAGTTATCATCGTCATTTTATATATGTCGTGGATTCGTTACAAGTAACCTGTGTTGTTTGTGGTAACTAGCGTCTTTCCAGCACCTAGCGTTTCGTGAAGGATGAAAGCAGTGGGTCCTCCCGAAGTTAAAAGACATTAAAGATCCTGACTGAAGAACAAACTTCATGAATAAAAACACGCACCCACGTAATTCTAAGCATGCTGGCATTTATATACCCTAATCAGTAATCAATGTATGCTTCAATCGGTCACCAAAACCGGAAAGCTCAGGTGCCCAGTTTGATTCACTAATCTGACTACACAGCCCAATATCGCTCTGATCCGCCACTGTGTTTCATTTGGCGCTGCCAATCCGCTGCTGACCCCCGTATCTCATCAAATCATTCCGCGGGGAGTAGCGATGGCTGCGCTGGGTTTCGTCAGCCTCTCACACAGAAGCTCTACGACCGGTCATTTCGCAGCGCTCAGCTCACGGCAAACATTCCGGAAAGTCTAATCTGGGACGTGTTCCGTTGAGCCCTATGTCCGCTGAAAGTTGCGTCGGAGTCCGGCACGGTATACGACTGAGCTGCTCAGACTTGGCGGTGCTCTCAGCGACACCAGACTCCTGTCAGGAATGACTGATCTCCCCTGGGGCACAAGCGTGTGGGGAGTTGGGCGGTCACGCATGGCTGCGTGGCAAGGCCGCGGTTAGAGGTTCTCTGTGCTAGCGAGAGAAGTTGTAATTCGCTATCACTCTCCCAGGTCCCAGGAGAGACGTTAAGGCTACTCATGACCATGTAAATGTGCGCATTTCGTCGCTGCCTTGCCATCCTCTAACGCATCTCTGAAAACCTGGCTCACGTGGCACCGTTTGATACTATATCCTCTCGTTGGAGGCACGGAAAACAGCGCTCTTCGGCTACCCACTGCAATGATCCATGGTTTCCCAGCTGACACTTCGTTACTTATTTCCCCGTGACACGCAGCCGCCAACTGTAAACCTACGATCCCTCCTATGTATCTTGAAAATACACTTATCCTCCTCCTCACGACCAACCCCTGTTCTAGGCTGGCCTGTCACCATTATCCGACGGAAGTAGCTCCTCAGGAGCAGACTCACGTGCGGTGGGGTGACCATTAGCGCCGGATGGGTGACCTGTCTCTCGGAACGGGCGTAGCCACAGTGGCGCATCAAGGTGACAGCCCAGACCAATGCGTGCCTCTAATGATGTGTACCCCTCGCTCCTGAAATGGTCTCAGTAGCCCGAAAGGGCCTAACTGATCTTGACAAAAATATCAGCCAACGCAGCCCGTAGAAATCTCCGCGGTCCCCTTTCCCTGTGGCCCACAGCGGTGTCACAGTCTCATAATGACCCACTGTGACCCACAGCGGCCCACTATAGCCCACTGTGACCCACCCACTGCGGCTCACCGCTGCCCCACCGTGACTGTCCGTCTGGCCCCTCTGAAGAGCGCGTGAAGGCTGCGGTAAAAACCTCGGCCGGCCGTCCTGTCGCCGAGGCTGGCCGGTGGATCAGTTTGTTTGTATGGCATAAACAGAGCACTGGCCAGCGGAGGGGCCGAGGCGGCGTGGATGTCTGCGGATGGACACTGGCCAGTCGCAAAGATGCAAATTGGACGGCTCAGGCAGGCCCACGATCGACGCTCGAGAGGTGCAAATTGTACGGCTCAGGCAGGCCCACGATCGATGCTCGAGAGGTGCAAATTAGACGTGGAGGTAGAACCACGCTTGAGGTGTGGTTCTACCCGACGCCCGAGAGGTGCAAATCGGACGGCAGGCAGGCCTCCGCTCATAGTCCAAGAGGTGTAAAGTGGCTGGCAGTTCGTCGCCCAAGGTGTGAAAATTAGACGACAGACAACCACACGCTCTCGGCGTCGCAGAGATGCAATCTATATAATTTACGGGACCACATCTACGTACAACACGAAGCTGCAGAGGTGCAAAGTAGAAAAAACATGGGACCACATCCGCAGTCGTATAGGTGGTCTCACATGCTTCGCATAGCGACCTGCGTGTTCCTCATATTTCAACTAACTACTGGCCATGGGTTATCGCACATCAGAAGCCGGTCTGATGGGGTTATTTGAAGAGTAGGACACGCAACATAAACAGCTGATATCTGAGCACCGCTGGCGGGGTGGGTGGTCCCGTGTGCACCGTACGCTGCACTGCACTGTGCACTTCTCTCGGCTGTGCATAGACGCTAAGATGGCGGACACCAACAGGACGTCCCCGATGGAATTGAGCAGCGACTGTGCTGTGGATGCCGGTTTATTATGATATTTTTAGAAGGCACATAACTACGTTATCAAAAGCATATAGCATTTTTGATTGAAGGGCTCGTGGCGACGAGAGTTATTATGATGCTTTGGCTTTTTTTAAAATAATATTTTCATGCTTCTTGATTATTTTCTAGCATTTGACGTAATGTGAAAACTTGCCACAAAATTAAAGTTATGTCACGAATACTGAACACCAAATGATTAAAAGCATATGAACATAGCTTTATAGTCCCAAAAGCAAGGTGCCCATGTAATAAAATATCTTATATTTACTTTTGCACATCGTACTGAACAGGCATAACGTTTCTGTGTCAGTTTTAGCGTTTTAC